TCTTCCTCTTCCTCTTCCTCTTCCTCTTCCTCTTCCTCTTCCTCTTCCTCTTCCTCTTCCTCTTCCTCTTCCTCTTCCTCTTCCTCTTCCTCTTCCCCTTCCCCTTCCCCTTCCTCTTCCTCTTCCTCTTCCTCTTCCTCTTCCTCTTCCCCTTCCCCTTCCCCTTCCTCTTCCCCTTCCCCTTCCTCTTCCCCTTCCCCTTCCCCTTCCTCTTCCTCCTTTCCAAGCAGAGCAGAATCCCAGCAGGATTCATTTCCTTCAATCCAGCAGGAATTCCGGCCACAGCGTCCGTGCCAATGAACACCCCGAGTTTCCAGTTCCCGTTTYCTTCCTCCCCAAACTCAAAACTCCACCTCCTCCCCCTTTTTTTTTTTGCTGGGAAATAAAAAGGCTTGGAATGGAGTCCTTAATTAAAGGGCTATTAATAGCAGGAGCCTCGGTGTGTGTTGGGGCGATCCGTACAGAACTATTTAAAGCATGGCAATGGGAAAGCCAACCCGATTTTTAAAGGTAGTTGTGAATATTCTGCACAATGAGATAAAATATTTGAGGATGAAAGGGAAATACAAACAATCCTTTCATTCTCACAAAATTCAAGAGGTAAAATAAGGAGTCTGTAAAATATTCTTTTTTAATTGTTGAAGTCTCCTTGACTGGGGCTTTTTGTTATTAGTGGAATGAATTGGTTTTGAGAAACCTCGTAGTGGATCAGCATTTCTGAGTGCAGGAGAGAAACCAAGCTCCAAACATGGAATATCAGTTAGTGGGGCACAGAAGAATCTGGATTCAGTTGAACCAACATCATTTGTGACCAACATAAATCCATTTTATCTGAGAAGATCTTGTTACCGAGACTGTAAATTCCAAGCTCTTTTTTTAGTTTTGGAATTTCTGTGACCCGTTTGACCCTGACTGGTTGTGCTGAGCATCGGGTTCGTGTTAACCATGGTCTGAATTTTCCAGGGTACCACAGAAATCGAAATCAGGAAGAARCCGGGCGGGTCCCTCTTGGTGTCCATGGATCAGGTGAACGCGTCCTATGGGAGGAAGGATCGCACCAACAGCGTCATGACGGGCTTGACCAACACCCTGGTGGAGGGTAGGTGGGATTTGGGATTATAGGATGGGCTCCAGGGAGACCCCAAAGCCTCCTGCAGGGCCTGGAGGGGCTCCAGGAGAGCTGGAAAGGGATTTGGGACAAGGGATGGAGGGACAGGACACAGGGAATGGGGTCACACTGCCAGAGAGCAGGGATGGATGGGATATTGGGCAGGGATGGATGGGATATTGGGCAGGAATTGTTCCTTGGGAGGGTGGACAGGCCCTGGCACAGGGTACCCACAGAAACTGCCCCAGTCCTGGAATTGTCAGTTTAGACAAGGCTTGGAGCACCCTGGGATGGTGGAATTCAGCTCCCTCTGCTTTCATATTCATTCCCGGATTTGCCTAAATCTATTTCTTTCGGGTCATTATTAATGAATGAGGATTTATTAGGCTTCATTTTACTCAGTTTTGCATCCAAGTTGAGCAGAGATGGAGGCAAAGGCTACAAAGAGTTGTAACTTCACAATAAAGAGGATGGATGTGGAGATCAGAGGAGCCAGACAATATCTGGTCCAGCACTGGAGAGCCTCTCCTTTGCTCCAGCCAGTGGAAGRAAAGGGCTGGAGCTGCACTGAGAGCTGCAGTGGGACAGAGGAGAGTTCCCCAGGGGAGAGCAGGACTGGTGGCCAGCAGGAATTGGAGAGTGGCCAGCACACGGGGATGATATTTCCCAGCACGTCGTGCGGGAGCCAGCAAGGATTTATGAACAGCAGCCGCACGCGGCCGATGATCTCAAATTCCTGCTGTCTCCTGCCATGGAATTGTAGGAAAAGCAAATATTCTTAGAAACAGAGCAGGGTTGTGCTGCCGCTCCCCTCCTGCGCAGACGCCCACGGGCTCCAGTGCCACGGGCCTCTTTTAACTTCACCAATTCCAAGGCAACTCAGTACTAAGCAACCAGAGAGCCAATGGGAAGGAGAGCACYGTGGTCCTTCCCTTCCCATAAAAAAGAAAAGTTGAGGGTGCACAGCTGCCTGGTCAAGACATGGGGGAACTCCTCATTTGTGGTTTTTTTCCCCCTAAGCACTTGAGATAAGCCAGTGGAAAGAGGAAAAACGGACACGGCGTTGTTGTTTGATTTCTGTAAATGGATGTGGTTCCTCTTAATCAGGTTATTCCTGTTGAAAATCCTTCGCAGCGTTATGTCATCGCTTTCCTCTTTTAGCCCGTGTCTGTTCAGCACAGAATTCATCTCAGTTATTTAAAAACTGGCACCAAAGGCAGTTTGGGATCTGTAACTTTGATTCGAGCTGTTTTACCTTGATGGGTTCCCAGTTAAATATAGCTCTTTGTTTGGAATAATTCACGTTGAATCATAAAATCCTGGTGGGGCTGAAGCTCAGGGCTGGAGCTGCAGATGTGGTGACCTGGTGCAGGTGGGGCATAGATGTTGTGTGGGGACAAAGGAGAAGTTGTGAGGCTCAGTAAAATCATAAAATCCCAGAACCCAGGAATCCTTGAGGTTGGAAAAGAGCTCTGAGGTCACTGGGTCCAACCTGTGCCCGATCCCAGAGCTGTCACCCTGCACAGAGCACTCAGTGCCACCTCCTTGGACACCTCCAGGGATGGGCACTCCAAACCTCCCTGGGCAGTTCCTTCCAAGGCCTGACCACAATTTCCATGGAGAAATTCCTCCTGATGTCCAACCTGTCCACAAACCTGACCCAGCTTTTCTCTCACCTCACCTCCATGGCCATTTTCACAAGATTCACAGTTTGGTAATTCTTGATCTTCAGCCTCAGCGCTCAAACCCGAGCCCCGTTTTGTTTTGTACCCATAGAGCTGGAGGAGTCGCAGAGGAAATGCCCCCCTTGCTGGTACAAATTCGCCAACACGTTCCTGATCTGGGAGTGCCACCCGTACTGGATGAAGCTGAAGGAGATCGTGAACCTCATCGTCATGGATCCYTTCGTGGATTTGGCCATCACCATCTGCATCGTGCTCAACACTTTGTTCATGGCCATGGAGCACCACCCCATGACCCCCGAGTTYGAGCACGTGCTCTCCGTGGGCAATCTGGTAAGGGGGCAGTGAACATTCCCTACAAATCCACTCCTGCTGGGATTCCTGGAATTCTTGATTTGAATTTAGAATAAGTTGTGCTGTCGATAACTTCGCCTGAAGATCAAAAATGAGTGAAAATGAACCTAACCCTAACAATCCTAACAACCCTAACCCAACCCTAACCCAACCCTAACTTTAACAACCCTAACCCAACCCTAACCCAACCCTAACCCAGCCCTAACCCAACCCTAACCCTAACCCAACCCTAATCTAACCCTAACCCAACCCTAACCCCTCTCCTCTCCTCCCTGCTGCAGGTTTTCACTGGGATTTTCACGGCAGAAATGTTCCTGAAGCTCATTGCAATGGATCCATATTATTACTTTCAAGAAGGCTGGAACATCTTTGATGGGTTCATTGTGTCCCTGAGTTTAATGGAGCTGAGCCTGGCGGACGTGGAAGGGCTTTCCGTGCTGCGATCTTTCCGATTGGTATTCCATATCCCGACTCTTCTTTTGGTTTTATTTTTATGGAATATTCTGAGTTGTATGGGACCCACGAGGATCCTCCAGTCCAACTCCTGGCCCTGCACAGACACCTYMACWTAATTTTTTTTTTTTACATGAAACAAGGGAAGACCCGTTTTTCTGTGGGTTTGGGGAGGACAGAGATGGAGCTGTGGCATTTTTTGTGCCATTTGGGTAGGGCAGGGTGGCTTTTCCTTTGGGAAGGGAGATCAGCGTGTGGGGARTWACTCAATCCAAAATGCACAAGCCCGAATTTCCAGAAAGGTTAAGKATTCTCTGCTCCCTGTGAGCTCAGTGGCAGAAACATGGACTTAGCTTGACGTAAAATACAAGACAGTTGTTGTTTAAGAAGTTCTGCCTGATTTCCCTCTTAGTTTCCAAGATAAAATTTGTCATTTTTCTGTTTTGTTCTGTTTTTTTACGTAGCTGAGAGTCTTCAAACTGGCCAAGTCCTGGCCCACCCTGAACATGCTGATAAAAATCATTGGCAACTCGGTGGGTGCCTTGGGGAACTTGACCTTGGTGCTGGCCATCATCGTGTTCATTTTCGCCGTGGTGGGGATGCAGCTCTTCGGCAAAAACTACAAGGAGTGTGTCTGCAAGATCAATCCGGACTGTGAGCTACCCCGCTGGCACATGCACGATTTCTTCCACTCCTTCCTTATTGTCTTCCGTGTGTTGTGTGGGGAATGGATTGAGACCATGTGGGATTGTATGGAAGTGGCGGGACAGGCCATGTGCTTGATTGTCTTCATGATGGTCATGGTCATCGGAAATTTGGTGGTCAGTAAATGGTTCCTGATGGGCTTTCGGGGTTGTYCTCTGGGTGGGATAGGACGGGGGAGAGCCCAGGATGAGGGAGTGATGTTTTTTAG